AAAAAAAAAAAATTAACGTGAGCAGTTGGAAAAGCTTTTCCCACCAAAAAGTTGGGAAAAGCTTTTCCTTAATTGTGAAGAAAATTGGCGCGTGAGCCTACCAATGGCAAAATATTTTCTTGTCAAAAAAAGTCATATCAAACACAACCAAAAGTGATAAATGGAAAATGATTTCCCTTTTCCTTAGAAAAAGTAACCTATCAAACATGCCCTTAATGACATCTAATTGTCACACAAATAAGTGTTAAGCACTGATGGTATTAAATAGTATTACACTTATATAACTTGAACATCTTTCATGTTATATGTACATTATTTTTTACGTTGTACTACGTGACAAAATACGATTGAACGATTTAAAAATCAAAAACAATTTTTTCGCCCACAAATTTCAAAAAAATAATGCAAAAATGCTAAATATACACATATTTATTCACATTCACTTTTACATCTCTCTCACATACGAGATGGAGTCAACGATTTTTAAAATTGCGTGCCTCCACCCCCTATGTGGCATTACTCAAAATAATGTCAATCAAACAGCACGGACATTTAGCATTACTGAACCAGAAATAGGAGTATTCTGAAAGTTTGTTTGTATGCTTTACACGTGGCACATGAGTGGCACGAAACTTTAGAAACCACATTTTATTACTTTATTGAAATCCACTTTTCTTTTATTTGCTTTTTTATTTTGTCTGCTAGTAGCGTGGAGTGGCTGCTGGAATCTCTCCCCTTAATTACTGATGAGTCTTTTTTAAAAAATTAGTTTAAAAAATAAAGAGATAATAGTTAAATATTAGACCGGTGATCAAAAACTTAAAACAAGTAATTTTTATTTTTTATTTTATTTTTTTAAAGAAATGCGATAAATCTATGACAATTCAGAAATTTTTTAGATGATTTTTTTATTCAATTAAACCATGTTACGGACGTTTTAAGATATTAAAAAAAAAAAAAGAAAATTCATTTATGGTGAAGCGTAACATTTTTCTACTAGGGACTGATATATTTTATTGCCTATAGACAAAAAATTTAAATTAATTCATGTTATAAGTAGTAATAGAGGTGGTGATAGAGGATGTGACGACGACGATAGAATATATATAACAAAGCTTGTTACATGCGTTATACTCTTTGTAATGCATATAAATTTATAATTGTTATAAAAAATACAAAAAAAAAATCTATGAAAAAAGAAAAAAAACGTTTTGAAAATAAAATAAAATGGACAGTAATATAAGAAAAACTTTAATTTTTTAGGTGGACCGTGAAACTTTTCCTACCGTTAAGTGTGTAGCATAAAGGCTTATGATTGACCCAAGTAATTTGTTTGGGCTTTGTGGCGAATGGGCCGATAGTTTGCGGTAAATATATAGTGAAAATTACATAAATCCAGGTGTTTAAAGATTAATTTTCAAAAATAAGGTTTAAAGTTTACTTATTCAAAAATCAGGTAAAATAATTAATACATATAATATTATTAATAAATTAAATTTTCCACCCAATTAAAACCCTAATTCATTTTAACACTCCTCTTCCCCCTCTCTCGTCTCCCTTTCTTTCTTCTCTCCCCAATTTTATTTGAAACCTAAATTGAGATTTCCCAAGGTGGTGGCGTCGTGCAGGCGATCATGGCAGTCGCAAAGGTGGTGGTCGTGCAAGCGATGGTTGAGTTCATTTTGGGTTGCTGGTTTGCATGGTGGCGGTCGCGAAAGTGGTGGTCGTCTAGAAGATGGTGGCGCCATGCCTTGCGGAGGTGCAGTGGCCGCGATCTATACTTTCGAAGGTGCAACAGTCGCGATCTATTCCAGGGAAGCGTCGGAGCCTCTACACGCGAAGGTACAACAGCTGTGCAGCGCCCTACGACGATCTGTACTTTCCAGCTGAGTCTGTCACAGATCGTCGACGATCTGAAATTTTTATAGCAGCTCTGAGGTGCATCAGCTGAGTTAGATAAAATAGAAACAGCTATAGCAGTGTGTAACGATCTATTTTGTCGGATCGGCGGGGGATCTGATGGTAGTGAGGTGGTGGTGTGGTTGATGAGGCGATGATGGCGGCGATGGTGGTTATTGCTGATACAGGGGGGCGGTGGTGGTAGTGCTCAGCACAGATTTGGGGATTTATTTCGGTGAGGATTGTGGTTGTGAAGTGATAAGCTGGTGGTGGTCGTGTTTGAGATGATGGTTTTTCTGTCAAAAGATGGTCGTTGTGGTTTTGGCGATGGTTGTGGTGGCGGTGTTGCTGTGGGCAGTGGTTGTGGGGACGGTGGTGGGGTAGTGTTTGTGACCAACTGTTTGGTTGATCTGTGATCAAGTATCGACTGTAGATCGGGGTGGGGTGGTTGGTGTATGTGACCAACTATTTGGTTCACCGTGACTAACTATTAAATGTGACCTTAAAATTCGATAATTTGTGATTAAAAATAATTTGTGATCGATAGATAAACTATAACCTATAATTTTTTTGATCTGTGGTCATTGAAATAAATTGTGACCTATAAAAAAATTTATTTGTGACCTTAAAATAATTTGTGACCAATTAATTTGATAATATGTAACTA